TTTTGCTTCTACAAATACTTTGGGTTGCTTTGATTTTACTTTCGTTTTGTGGGTGGTTGGTGGGTGCTCTGGTGTGGTTTGCTTCTTCTTTCCTATCGAACGTCTATCGGCCTGATCTCTCCTACTTCTTTTTAATATTTGTTGCTCTCTTGTGACTCCTCTAATCTTCTGCACTTATATGACCTTATTGTGTTGCAAGTGCCGAAAAACTCTTACTGCAACGAAGAAACATCAAAATCAAACTGGGAAGTAGCAAGAATGTAATATGTATACAAACCAAAATAAGTAAAACGTGTAATTGATTATTTCAAGAGACTGGAACCATTTTGGGGGGGGGGGGGTGTCCAGTAGCAAAGTAAATGCCAGTAGTACAGTTTCCAAAAGAATGTCAAGCAAGTGTCGGCGACACGGGTTTCCCATGGGTGGTCACTTAGTTTTGTCTGTGAGCAAAACACAACAACCCTTCCATGAAAAACTGGGTGCTGCACAACGGCGACCAGCAGTCGCATGTTTGTAAAGTAATTGCTCTGTAATGGTGTGATATTGTGTAGGCCTATTTATGTAGGCATCAAGTGTATGTATTTGTGGGTGTACTTATTTTTGTATTCATTTCTAATTATGTATTTGCGTGTGTATGTTTGCAATTGTAACTCAAATTTCCCAACGGGGGGAGCAATAAAGTGTAAGTTATCTAATTATTCGCTACCTCAAAATTACAAAGTTCTTTCTGTTTGTCCGCTTTGAGTTGCTAAGACCATGAGGTCAGAAAGCAATCAATGTTCTATTTGCTCTATCAGAATCACTAAATGATTCGAAGTCGTTATCAAGATATTCTAAGCATTGCATTCAAAAAGGCTTGACATGTTGTGAAATTCGGAATTCTTTGACGTCAAATTTTTCAAAACTAAGTACTGAGCAGATAGAACTTTGTCATTCTGAGGTAGTGTATTATATCACGTCATGGTCACTGCTCTTTGTTCTATATAAAATATTTGCTGGACTCGCGAGTACCGTGGGCAAGTAAGTAAGTCTATTCAGTGTTAAAGGCCACTGGCCCACATCACATCAATATAAAACAGCCATTTGTGAAGTAAAGTTTCCATAATGAAAGAGTACAGGTTGTGCACATATCTTTTATCGTGAGTCAAACATTGCATATTTCTGTCACTGGGCCGAGTCAGGCTGGGAGGAATTAACAATTTTCTTTAATGGGCAAAATATGGACAATAGAAAAGAAAATGAAATTCATATTCAGTTTCATGAGAGTTACACCTTTCCGTGGGAAAGCAAAAGAAGGGGAAAAGTTCGATCTTTCTAAAGTTAAAAGTGCAAGCTTTTTTTCCCCTTCTGGTCCTTCGTTTTGTTATGTTTCAAATAAAGTCAACTGGAATTGCGTTACAGCACACCATTTTTGTGGGTGATTGGCGGGTGCTCTGATATGGTTTGCTCCTTCTTTCCTATCCAAAATCTATCATCCTTATCTCGCCTCTTTCTTGTTTTGTGCTTGTAACACCTCTATTCTTCGACCTATTGTGCTGCAAGTGCCGTAAAACGCACTAAAACCGGAGACAAAAACTATTAAACAAAACACCATTTTGATTGTCACAATACAAGGCTATGATAAACCAGTATTTATTTTTAACTTTCTGCGTGTGCTTCTGTTATAAGATAAAGCATCTGCTAAACCCACAAACTGTTGTTATTATTAATATTACACGAAATCTTTCCCACCTACCGCTGGGTACCCATTTCCACTTCATACCACATATTATTATCTCTATCAAGGACACAGTTTTGCCCCCCTTGGCAGGGTTCAAACCCAAGACCCTTCAATCAAAAAGCACAAACAGCACTTCAGTTCTTGCAAAATACTCCAAATCAGTCTTGAATTCTGTGCTCTAAATACATCAAGGACATAATAGAGTCTAGATCTAAAGTCTTGCTCTATTTAAAAAATTACGCTCCTAATACGTGCCAAATTTTGAAAACGTCCATACAGCGAAGTAAACATTTTGTGGGTCTAAACGAACTCAACGTGTTGGGGAAATGACTACACCAAATGTATCAGAAAAAGTTAATACAATGAACTTTGTCCTGAAGTATCCATCGACACTGCGAGTCACACATCCAAACTGAGTTGGATATCAAGATTCTAGATTTGGAAACAAATGAAGCAGCTCTCACGACGAAGCACGTTTGAAAACGGAAGTAATCCCCACTAAAATATGAAATGGCTAAGGGCAGAGTGAAAACATATGAGAGCTTCAATTTACAGGAAAAACCACCAATCCTGAAAAATCAAAAGGTAGTTTCCGAACGTTAAAAATATGCCTACGTAACCCTTTGTGAGAATTCTTAACTGGATCATATTTTTGTAGATTTTAAGGGCACCTGTGTAAACAAAAAGTATACTGACCCCTCAAACGGGCTTAGCTCCATTATAATAAGATTTTTTAAATTATTATTATTAGTAGTAGTAGTAGTAGTAGTAGTAGTAGTAGTAGTAGTAGTAGTAGTAGTAGTAGTAGTAGTAGTAGTAGTAGTAGTAGTAGTAGTAGTAGTAGTAGTAGTAGTAGTATTGGTATTAGTATAAAAATTAGTATTATTTACTATTATTATTATTATTATTATTATTATTATTATTATTATTATTATTATTATTATTATTATTATTATTATTACTTCCTCAGCTGTTCCAGAGGTCAGGTTCGCCAAATCGTGTCTTAAACGGAGCTCCTACACCAAATCTGGAGACGTGTTTCAGGCCCAGTGTCTGTGTTATATTTCGGTAAGGAGTTGAAGACGCAAGAGCAGGACTGTTCCTGGGTCCAATGGGGACTGAGTTCTTGGTACATTTCTAATTTTTTTATCTCTTCTTTTCTATAAGTGTTTTACCGCGCTCGCAACTGCATAAGATCAAACGAGCACACGGGACTCATTAAACATTTTCAGTAGGAAGGAAATTTTCAATTTTGTACGGATGGCGGTCGAAGCTTACTCCTATCGATTTTAGACCACAAAGTGATCTTTAAGGTGTGCAACTTGCACACAGGACCTCCAAAATATTTCGCCCTTGTCCGAGATGGCTAGGTGTAGATCTTGCCTACCTTACGATGAGGGGTGTGTCTGAAAGACAACAGTAAGAAAGAGCCTAGGAGAAGCAGTAGAAAGGCTTCAGAAAGAGTCCGGAGCCCAGAGGATGGGGCAAAGGAGGTGAGGGGGTGGGTGCAGAAATGGAGACGAATGCAGACGATATAACGGTTAGAGATCAGGACAAATTGTGAAGGTAAAAATGTTATAAAAGAAAATTTTCCGTCGCTATCCGAATTTGAACCCCGACCTATTGAATGTGAGGCGAACACCTTAACCTTTAGGCCACGAGAGCCTCCGTAGAAGACATGAGAACAAGGAAGACTGTTCCTGGGTCCGCTTTAGTTTTAGTAAGAGTTTTATGGCACTTGAAACACAGTAAGGTCATATAAGTGCCAGAAAGAATAGATGTGTTGCAAGAGAGTAACATACACAAAAAGAAGGGGGAGAGATAAAGAAAATAGATGTTTGAATAGGAAAGAAGGAGCAGACCACACCAAGGCACCCGCCAACCACCCACTGTTACTGCGACCAAAATGGCAAAAATTGAGTTCTTGGTATAAAAATACTGTCAGAAAAAGCATCAGTGTACTTTACTGTTTCGAAAATACATGCATCTATATAACTTTAAAGAACTTGTGAGGTTGGGGGATGGGGGGTGGGGGGAGGGGTTGGTTCGAGCCTCAGCTCGGTCCGACATTGTGTCCTTTGGAAAGGCACTTTACACAAATTTCCCACTTCCCGCGGTCCTTTCGGGCATGGACGTTAAACTCGGAGGTCCCGCCTCTTAAATAACCAAGCAGTGTTGATAGGGGCGTTAAACCTATACCGTTTCACCTTTATAGGTCTAGTAATAAATCCCTGCCTGTGGTTGATAGACTCATCTGATGTGATATGTGCATGATAGTCAGCTTTACTTTTCTCTTCATATTAAATGTTAATGAGAATATAACTTAAATTATATGTTTACCTGAATGTGTTTTTATCATTTCTGTACGGCCACGAAAAAGGAGGTGGCTGGCGGGTGTTCTTGCGTGGTCTTCTCTTTCTTTCCTATAAAACACATCGTCTTTATCTCTTCTCTCTTTTTTTTTGTTTTTTTTTGGGGTAAGTTACTCTCTTGTAACACATCTAATCATCGGCACTTATATGACCTTATCGTTTTGCAAGTGCCGTAAAACTCTTACAAAGAAGGAGAAAAATTTCCTTCTGGGACACTTAAAGATCATCCCATCTCATCTCTAATAGATATAGACCTAGAGAAGACGTTCAAGCACATCTATTATCTATTTGTTGTGGCCGATTTTTGCTATTCAAAGGCTTTTTAATGGCTGCATCAATCAACATGCGGTTTTCGCCTAAAGTTTTTTAAAAATATACTCCAAATCATGACGCCCTTCGTTTTTTTAGTTTTTAGACAGTTTTGCTACAAAAAGCTAAATTTCTTTATTTCGCTGATCGCTTTTGTAGGCCGACGCTTCTCTCTGTGTAATTTTAGAAAATCCGCCAGGTTTGTTTATTTCAAGTCGTACTTCCGTTCGATACTATCGCGCATTGTCGCCTAATACTGAGCACTATTTTAAGTGTGCGACCCGTATAGATCTAGCCTCATGTTTTCTTTTTTTTTTACTTGGTGCTAAATTCGACTGTGATTCTTTCGTTTGATGCCCATCGTCACTTTTTCCGGATTCCTTTGTCAAATTCTTTTTCTTGTTACAACTTCAACAGGTCTTAGGTGAGAATCTAGATCTAGGTAGCGCCTGACCATGCCGAAAAGAAAACGACGTTTTGCAGTTGGAACCCCTCGCGCTCGCAAAGGTCGAGGTGGTCTAGAGAAACAACAAAAAAATGGGGACTCTCTATATCTAAATCTCCCAAAAGCATTCCTCTACAGTGTCAATTCGTTTAAGTACGAGTGCTACATTGGGGAACTGACGACACAGTGTACACACTGCCAGGCTATAGGATTTCCATGAACAGATCATTCGTTTCGTCGAAAGGGGGCCCAGCTAGTATTATATATTTGGCAACATGGAAACACAAGTGTCACTTTACCAATAAAATTACGACAGCTACAGAGTTGAAAGTTGGCAAGTACCTGCAAAAAGATAGGTAGGTCCCCAAGACGAAACCCGATTTTTTATTTATTCATTTCCTGAATTTGGACAAATATATATTACAAAAGGTTCCCGTCCTTCTTTGGCTCTTGTGATTATTCCACTGAGAAACGGAACAAATCTGTGTAGCTGTCCTCCACGGCGGAAGTGCGGAAGTGATATTTTGCCAAGCGCATTTTGTTTTGAGAGTATAGATCTAGATCTAGACCTTCTAATTTTTTGCATCTCTCAAGATATATTGCTCCATTCCAGTAGAGTGCAAATATTGTAGGCCAATGACTTTCAGTTGATGTTAATGCACCGACCATTCCTTTCATCGAAAGGGGGCCCTGCTAGTCTATTAATAGTGCACATCTCACGCTACCGTTAACTGTCTAGTCAAAAAAAGGGGGAAACTGCAGCTTATTCCAAAGCAAAAATATTATAGGTCTGGTCCCTCTTGTAGAACCTTCAAATCTTCGGCACTAGTGTTTGACCTTATTGTGTTGTAAGTGCCGCAAAACTCTACCTAAAACTAAAACTCTCTTGTAAAACCTCTATTCCTCGGCACTTCTATAAACGACCCATGTTGCAAGTGCTGTAAAACGTTTACTAGAGCCCAAATATGTCATGACGCTCGTCAGTTTTGGGGCATGTAGAGTTACTAGTATCATCTTAAAGCTTTATCATTTGTCTTGCTTATGATGAAAAAAGTGTGTGGTTGGCGGGTACTCTTATCTGGTTTGCTCCTTCTTTCCTATCAAACATCTATCGTACTTATCTCCCCTCCTTCTATTATATGTTTGTTGCTCTAAAAACCTCTAATCTTCGGCACTTATATGACCTTATTGCGTTGAAAGTCCTGTAAAAAGCTTACTAAAACATTGAACAAAAACTCTAACTAAGAGTAAAACTCCTTGTAACACCTCTATTCTTCTCCACTTTCATGACCTTATTGTATTACAAGGGCAGTAAAAATCTTACTAAAACAACAATGAAAAAATATTCATTTACCTGGAATACAAGTCGAGATATTTGTGATTGAAGGAGGTGGGGACCACCTGGTCCCAGTTGTAAAATTAGCGAGAAAATGGACATAAATGTTCAGTTATTTCCTTTGCTTAAGAGTTCGCGGAGACAGAAAGTTTACATTTTTAAAGCCTTTAATCAACACGTTTCAGTACAATATACACAGAAATGGGTTCTTAAAAATGCGTTCTTTAATTCGATTTTAAAAATTCCCTAACCTGCAGAAAAATGCCTGTTTCTTCACTTTTATTATTTTGACGAGCGCCTGATTTCATCACACTGCCTCACAAATTGCTTGCGACGGCACTTTTTGAATATCTTGATAACGACTCCGAATAATCTTACGATTTTGATAGAACAGATAGAAAATTTGGTTTCTAACCTCATGGTCTTATTAACTGAAAATGGCCAAAAATGTCAATTAGAACTTTGTTATTCTGAGGTAGCGGTATGGCAGCATGCTTTGCTAGCGAAATGTAGTCGTTAAAAGTTGACAGTGGGAGGTTGGCGGGTGCTCGAGGGTGGCTTGCTCCTTCTTTCCTATCAAACTATATCGTCCTTATCTCTCCTTCTTTTTTGTGTATGTTACTCTCTTGCAACACATCTATTATTCGTCACTTATATGACCTTATATTGTGTTGTTGCAAGTGCCGTAAAATTATAACTAAAACTAAACATAATCTGGCGCTCAGTTATACCAAGAGAACATTGCCAATTGAATTTATTTTACTTGAGTCCCTGCCAGCCACATAAAAAAAAGAAGAAAAATAGAAAAGAAATTCAAACTTCCCGTCTTGGTAACCGTTTTCACATGGGATTTTTCTTTTTCTTTTTCTTTCTTTTTTTTTTTTTTGAAAAGGGGTGGGGGGGTTGTTTTGTGTGCTAAAATGAAAAGCGTTTCTGATGCTCCAAAGATCGATCTTAGGTTGCACCAGAGATACTCGATTTAATTATTCTTTTTGAACGTTTTCGCCTCGAGAATCGTATTCACATTTTATACATGCAGTAGCGAAAAACGTTTTAACCGCAGTCAGACGAAAGTGTAGGAGCAATAGAAAGTATTCTGCGGTCCCTGGTTACACTTCAATACCACGTTCCTTAAGCACTCTCGTGGTCTAAAGGTTACGGTTTTTGCCTCTCATTCAATAGGTCCCGGGTTCGAAACCTGACAGCGAAGAAAAGTTTGTTTCTCCCAAATGTTCTCCCTTCACCTACCAAAACTAAAAATGTTTAACGTGTCTCGAATGCTCATAATATGACCTAATGCAGTTGCGAGTACCGAACAAAACACTTAATAAATTGATGGAATGTATAAGACCACAAGTATTTTTTTAAAAATAAAAAGCATTATAAACTACCCATCATACCACCTTTCCACGAAAATTGTAAGATGACGAAGCAGCAGATGTGTACCTCTAAAGCTCCCTCAAACCCGGGAAATTTTCCTGACATTGTACCCAGAAACCGGTCATTTTGGCTCGTAAGTAAGGGCCCACTAGTAACTATAAACATCTTCCATTTGCTTTAAAAATTGGCACAAAGTACAAACAAAGATGGATCTTTAGACATACCA